TGTCTGGCTTTCATATCTCTCATTCGTTCGCACCAGGCTTCCATCACGACCAACCATAGCGTCGATCCCACACTAGAACCATGTGGACACCTTCTGTTCACTGTTTCAGAGACCGTCCCACAGGTAGCTGTTCTCTCCCCTATGAAGCTCATACACGTCTTCCTTCTTTTTCGGTATGCCCATTCGTGTCATGCATTTCTCAATCGCCGGTGCACACGCGATATTGAAGGCGTTGGACAGGTCTAACGCCACAACCAAGCTGTGCCTCTTTCCTTGCTTATTCTCTTTTATCCTTTTCAACATTTTTTCCACGGCCATTATAGTATCCATTCCTCCTCTAAAACCATATTGGCTTGGAGAGAATTTCAACTCCCTTTCACACCAGACTTCTATCCTACCATTAAGAAGCCTGTCCAACATCCGCCCCATACCTGACAGTCGGCTGATCGGCCTGGAAGATTCTGCCAGAAGTCCATAAATCTTCTTGCTATTCAGGTGTTCAATCTTTGTTTGGAAAAGCCTAAAGCTATGCCAATGACAGGTTCTGGTCTGATGAAGCTGCTTGCAGCACCCTCCTTTGCAAGGGAGTTTCTTTCCAGGCCAGTATGGCCAGGAATCCAGACCAGAGACAATCTGTTAAGTCTTTCTATGAAAACTATAGACTGGCACTCAGAAGAACGGTACATTCGTTTTATTTAAAGAAAGGAATACCGACTTTCGACAAAATAATGCGAGCCTTGAAAGAAGACCAAAGTAAGTCTCCATTGTTTGCAGAAAGAAATTGTGGAAAACTGAATTTCACTGGGAAAAACAAAACAAAAAATCACTGAAGGCGACAAGAGTTTCGACGCGACAATAGAAATATTTATTATCGGATCGAAACTTGGCCTAAAAAAGATATTCCTTGGAGATATGTGGTAAGACAAAAACATCAAAAGTTCACCTCAAGTAATTTCAGAAAGCTGGGCTACCAGATTGAAGTCGCCTTTTGAGAAATGAAAACGACTGTGATTGTGATGCATAATGCAACTGTCATTTTGGAGAAGTTGAAAGGATACAATACTCACAAGGAGTACAGCAAATAACATTTTCACGCGAGCTGATAAAGGCAAAACGGTCATAGCCATGAACAAAGAAGAATACGTAGAGAAGACTATAGACTTCCTAAATGCTGGCATCTACGATAATCTCTGAAACGAGAACATCAATTTATATCTGAAATAAGTCAAGGGAACTTTAGAAAATATTCATTGTGTCATGAAACAGAAAAATTCAGATCGTTAGTCATGAACCCACAACCACCACCTAAACTTCATTCGTTATTAAATTACACAAAGATAGCTATCCGATTAGACCGATAGTTTCTTTAGTTAAAATATCCGAAAAACTCATCGCAAATTTTCAAAACCACACCAATTTCAAATCAATATTCAGTTTGAAGAATTCATACCATTTGATCAATGAAATTCAAGATATTACACTCCCGGATAATGTCAAATTGATTTCGTTCGATGTAAAGAATATGTTTCCCAGTATTCCTCCAAATGAATACTCTTGTAGGCAAAGGTCTATCAATCCGGTAGTGAAAAAGAAAATATTAGACTTGCTTACGGTTTATTTGTCACATAATTCCTTCCGATTCAATACAAAGGTCCCAGAATGGAAAACCCGCTTAGTCCCATTTTGACAGAGATTTTCATGGACCATTTGAAGAAAAAAATACACAGTAACACACTGGTAAGAAGTTTCGTGTATTGGAATAGATATGTGGATGATATCCTGGTATGTTTCACAGAAACGAACAGACGGTTGACTAAGTTCTTGAATTTCAATTGTATCCCCTCTTCACCATGGAGATGAATAAGGACGACTCTATAAATTTTTTGGACTTGACAATAACGAAAGTTAACATCTAATTGCATTACGATTTCGTAGTGAACGATTCGACCTTCTCGCACAGTCACAATCACTGTGATGAATATTGCTGATTCTGCTTTTATTATGACAAAACAGGTTTTTGTATTTTTTAAAGATATTTCCATATTTATAACATCAGTGTATGACATGAAAATCTGAATTTGAATTTTGTTCTTTCAACTGAAAATCGATTTTTGAGAGCAATAACACTATTGTTTTTTTGGTAATATGTTCAAAGATGAGTTTTGTATACCTTAATTTAATTCCCTTGAAAATGCGTTCCCTTATTCAAAATGGTGTCCTGACGCCTTCGCCAAATATGTTATAACTGTTTTCTCTAGAGTTTCTGAAAGAATTTACCTTTTAGATAACAGCTCGTAAACGTGACAAATATGTATGGAATATATTGAAAATATCGTTTTCCTCATCTACAAAAATGTGGCTTTATATTATACCATACTCACACACGCATATCATAAATGGTTGCGCGTTCGCCATTTTGTGAACTGTAGTTGATTGCAGCTTTATGTGCTAACCAAGATCAATTTCAGAAACATTCCTGGAAATTCATTTTGAAATTAATTGCTTTCTACCTTTCTTTGGAAACATCCCTCATTTAATTCATTCGTGACATGAGGTCGTAATTTTATGAATAAATTGAGTGTTTGATGTTGTGCTGAAGAGGCAATAATGCAAGTATTCTGTTCCGCAACATCGATTGAGGATGAAAAGCGTTCCACGTAAGTGAAATTTATTTTGTTTCACATACTATATTGTGTAGCAATCCTTTGAATGATATCTGATTCAATTTTATAACGAATGTTTGAAGTGCAAACTGGCTAGGAAAAAGTAGTTTTTGTACAATTCAATGTTTATATGAAAGTAGTTGTTTTGAGAGGGTTTTTTATTCCGGTTTGTGTCTAAAAGTTACGTTTTTGCATGATCTACTCATCTTTGTGAAGAGTTTATTTTTTGAAACAAATTGCTTTCCTTTTTTCTTTGGAAGATTCCATTATTTTGTTTTATAAAGCTGCAGTAGTAGGAAGCCAAATCCATTATTTCCCACAAATTAAAGCGTTATTCAAAAATAAACTCCAAAATATTAGGCACAACTGAACCTTGTCATTTCTAGTGGATTTGTCTTTTATGAAAATTAATTGTTTCTTAATCTTGGAAATATAAAAATTGTTAGTGATCATAAGAAAGACACTACTAGCGTAATGGATGAGTATTGGTCAATTACATTAACGTCGAGTTATTTGAAAAGCGTTGAATAATATTTTTGCGATTGGTTGTTTAGTTTCTGGTAAATTCTACATCTTGAATAATTTACATTGTTTCTTCAACAAATTCACTTACAATCGCATTCTTTGGAAGAGTTTCGGTATATCAAGAATCAGGAGAATGTCTTACTGTGATCACAATAATCTTTTAGTATCAAAGTATCATTAGTATCAAACTGAGGCTCAGCCTCCATTTAGCTTTCTTCCTTTTCAACTGAACTCCTTCGATTCATAAAAATACTGGAAAGTACTTACAGGGAACTCAGATATAACTTTTCTGAATTCATTGTAGTTATTGCAGGAGTTTACAATAGAAGTTTCAATACAAAAATTTTTTGAAAAAAATTACAAGTTACTGTTATTTTTGTTTTCAGTTTTGACGTTTGTGATTTTTGATTTCTCCGGCTTCTGAAATTTTCCTATACATACGTAATTCATGCCTTTGAGGTGAATTGAATGAATGAATGATTAAATGGATTGATAAATGAAACAAATTACAAACAACTGCTGTCGTTAAGAAATTGTAACATCTCTCTGATATTCGAAATCAAACAGCAATATTAGTCACCGTAACAAACAAGAAACTGGAAAAAGTCAAGGAATAGTAACTTACGTAACAAGTCAGAGAAATATATGTTTTTTTGTACAAAATTCAAGTCTGCGAGTCCAAAAAACTGTTTTCGGATGTGTCGCTATTTTTTCGGCTACTGTGTAGAATAACGGAACAATGAGACACATTTCTTCATTATATTTTTTTGAACAACAAAATTTCGAACATTTTGATTCTCATTTGTATTGAACATTGATTGTTTTCATGTTTTATTCATGTTTTTGAATGGTGCTACCAATTAATTTTGTTTGAAAGTGAATTGTGTACACTCCTTCAGGAACATTGGTAGATTTCCAGCCACCGTGACTCTTAAAATTTCTGATTCCTCCATTATCAACACATTTCTCAATATGTCTTTGGAATCCGGTATATTCACGAGCAACATGTATTCCTAGTCGTGCATTAGATCAAATGACATTTTTGTTAGTTCTTCCCGCCAAACGCACCGGCTAATACAATAACTATTGCTACTTGAAAATAAAGCAAACTAGTTGATTATTTCATGTTCTACAATCGTAATATATCGTTAAAAATTACCTTTAGTATTAGATATGTTTGATTATTTGATCCCCTAATAAATATATTGATCTGCTCGCTGTTGAAGACTTTTGACTTCTTTGAAAAAATGCAATAATTAATCTGTGGAAAAGGGGCCTTGTTTATATTTTTCTTCATTGAAATAGTACTTTTGAAGGCTCTTTAAGGTGGAGAAATTGACAGTTTAAGATTTTTGCGCCAAATTAGCCAAAACTGTATCTTCAGAAATAGTTCTGCATTTTTTCATATCCATTCATTTCGAGAAAAAATCATAACCGTTTTCCTACTGGGACTTTGATTTTTCAATCCAATAGATTGGCCATTTCGTAAGACACATTTTCAAAATCACTATCGCTGCTGCTTTTCATAGTTTATTGCGATAATTGCGAACAAAAACCATGTATATGCTTCATTTGAAAAGATCTAAAAACTTGTCAACCTTTTATATCAAATGGACTGTTATAATTAGTAAGTTACATCTAAGAGCTGATGTTTCCCCCAACTTGTTATGATTGAAAATATGTTTAATTGAGTATTGAGTACTTTTGTATATCTTCGTAATCAAAACCTGTTGCTAGACCCAAAATAGTTTTAAATGAATATTTTAACAAAGGGGTACTATGGAATATCCAAGCAAAGTATATAAAACTAACCTTTGAAAACTTTTCCAAAACAACCTTCCCCAACTTCCTTTAAGAAAGACAACGTTTCCTTCTTCAAAATGGGCACTCCTGATGCAGAACAGGCTGAATACTGTGGATTTGGAGCGTATCGTTCAGCTACTAGAAACCCTTGTTTGAGATTTATAGGTGATGCCTGTAACAAAGAGGAATGATAGAAATAAAGGAATAATAGTCAAACGAAACACGAAAAAAATTGTGACGAAGGAATAACGAGGATCGAGAATGGAAACTTTCATGAGGTGAAAGAAAAACGGATAAATATAATATAACCTTTCCAATCATGAAATCTAATTTCCATCGTGAATGACTTCATGTGAATGACAATGATTCAATGTGAATCATTCTTAATATTTATCTTAAGATTTCTTNGGATTTTGCGGAAGCCCTTTGGTGAAAATTCGTGAGTGGTAGTATTACCTTTGCTAATATATGAAGTTTCGTTCCAAATTAATTTCAGTTTACGAGTAGGATATGGAACTTTTCAAAACTATATTGGAGTAGGCTCCACACAGAGCTTAAAAAACTATATTAATTTCATTACATCCAGTAGACCCCAATCGCAGGTATAAAGTAAAGTATTACAGCATAAAATGGAAAGATGGAAATGACAACTGAATAATTATTTTCTACGCGAATAGCTTGATTTACGTTTGGATAGGCTCATTTTCACACCCAAAAATGAAATCGGCAAGTAATTAATAGGAAATTTGTCTTAAAATACATAATGTTTCGGAAAACAGTCTCAAAAGTTGTTCATCAAAAGAGGGCGTGACATCACCAGATATAAGAAGTACGGAGCCGCCTTAAATACGTCATTGGTTTCAGACAATTCTTCGTAAGCTGTGTGGAAGTTCAATTATTTTTTAGTTGTCTGTATTCATCTGCCTATGCTATGAAAGTGTCGAGGATAAAGTCCTAAAAAGTATTATATGTATACTAGCTGACCCGGCAAACGTTGTTTTGCCACATACATAATTTCTCTCAAAACATTAACACTTTTTCGTTAGTCCATGTTCGGCTAACACAAACAAACTGGATTGCTTGCCCACTCGAGAGCATACTACGTACAACTGTCCGTGTGAAAAACATCGTGTGCTCAAATCCATACCACAAACGGATATTGTTTCACTTTGCGACTTTTTAATAGTCATTGCAAATACCACTCTAATTGGAAATTGCACACGTTTAAAATGAATTGGCACATCTGTAGGTATAATGGGGATTCGTGATATTAATATATTTTCATTTGAAATGCTGGCTTCGACAAAGTTTTTAATTAATTTTTCAATGACTAATCGCGTGCCTATGCACAGCCGTGGTGGATTGAAATTACGGAGCGATCCTACTTTCAGGTGTAAATTATGGGGTGGCATGCCTGGCAAATACAATGAGTTCAAGAATCCTGTTGAATAGTTCACAGCTTCGGTGACATCACAAACTGCTTCTACGATCAATGGATAAACAAAAATAGTGGCCGAAAACTGTATAGGAAGTGAGAGAAGCCTTATTGTGTGGGAGAGATAGGAGACTGGCTTCGTTCTCACCCCTACTCCGTGCTGTTTACTGAGTGAGAAGTGACACCGGCAGACGCCTGGCGAGAAAAACAATGATTGAACTACTGAAATGGCTAATAAAAATAGGGGTTGGTGATGGAAGGGTAAAAATTGAGGGTTATATGTATTTTTCAATGGCACATCATAAAAAATAGAGACGAAAAATTTTTTCCAAAAAACAATAACAATAATATACATATGAAATCTCATAAAAATGGGTCAAGCCGTTTCTGAGGAGTAGGGTAACTAACAATGTGACAATAGAATTTTATATATTAGATTGTAATTTATGTGTGTACCCGAATTACACACAATTGTTTAAGTGTCACCCAAAATTTAAAAAGTTAACAAAGCCCTGCAAATGGCTATGCTGAAAAAGTGGTAGATCGTAAAATAAACTCGATGCCTAGATCATATCAATGTATATTCATCAAATCCAGTCCAAAGTGATGATGAAATACTTGCATTTATACCTATTAACAAAGTGGACAAAACTTTATTCTTTGCTGAAAAACATTCAATCTGAATGATTGTACTTCAGAAACGCGTTTAATTACTAAATTTGATAGAAAACTCAGTCCTTATTCTCATTGAAATATTCCATGAACATGAATGTTTACCGTCTTAATAAAGTTTTCCTGGAATGAACACATATTCATCAAAACCACGAGCATTAAATGCTTTTGCTTAACAGTTCAGAGGTGGTTCAGATACTGTATCAACCATCGCACATATCTCGTGACGTCACACTAGCTTTCGATAAATGCCCAGTTTCAAAGTCTCGTATCTTGATAACGTTAAATGCTGTTGATTTGAAATATTTGCCATTGTATTTTGAATGATATATTTACATAAAAAAATATTAGAATTCACAAAATGCATAACATTTAATTTGACCGAACGACCCTTTTAAGTGAGAAACAGAAAGAAAAAGTTCACTCTTGATACATTATTCATTGATGATTCCGATTTTGAAGAAATGCTGTTGTGTTTTAGTCACAGAGTATTTTCGAAAACGATTACAAAAGTGCAACAGAAGTTCCTTATCATGTGAACATTTATCTAATAATGGCCTTTTCTCGTAATATGGGGTCCAGAACAAGCATTTCTTACAATTACCAGAAATGCAATACTCTTCTCGACGCGTATTTAACCAATCAAGTGGAAGAAAGAAATGAAGAAAAACTATTTTTTTCTGAAGACGCCAGCTTGGTTGGTGAAACGCGCATCGAGAATAGTATTGCATTTCTGGTGATTGGGAAAAGTGCTTGTTGTGGATTTATTCTAAGCCATCATCCAAAACTTCTGAAATAACAAATATTTTTTGTGAACTGCTGGAAATCAAGTTAATTCACTCATTGAAAGACATGTATTAATCGTCTCCCTGCAATTTTTTTGTTCATTCAACTAGCGTGTGGACAATGTTTTTCCAGTTTTCAATTATCTTCTCAGTTCTATGAAAATGATGCATGATAATTGAATTTAAAAAAGCTGAACCTTGCTTATGCAACACAAACAAGTGTCAATTGCAAAGTCAAGCGTCGATATCGATCTCTACATTATGAGATATCGCTTGTTGTTTTCCTAGATGAAACCAGAGGTATAGAGAAAAATAAAAAGCGATTTCTCATCAGATGATTGATTTAGAAGTTTGGCAACAGGATGCCATGGGAACCATTTTTTTGTGACCCTTGAAGTGATACTTTTTCATGAAAATTATGAGTGATAATTGAAAATCTAAAGAATAACTCCACACCAGGATCCGATAAAATAAACTCGAAGACTCTGAAATCAATTCATACCAACATTTCAGTCCCCCTTGTCCACATCATCAATCAAACATTCTCAAAGAGCATCATACCTTGGCAATGGAAAATCAGCAATGTAACACCAATTTTCAAAGCAGGAAAAAAATCCCAAATTAATAACTATAGACCTATATCTATCATAAATACGCTA